TAGCTGATATATTGGATTTCGAGTTTGACTACTTGAAGATGAAAACACCGTCCATCCAAAACGACTTTTCATACTATCGCCGAACGCTGAGTCGAGGGAAACTTGCGAGTGAAACTGGCTTGAGGACCGACATGATTGAAGATGAATTGGTAATTCGAATTTTCTTATTCTATGCATACCCGACACCAACGAAAACTGTTACGGATGTAACCGTCCTATTTGCTAAGAATAACCCTGACAGAAGTATATTGGAATGTTTGTCGTTGTTGGCTGCTGGATGTTATCATTCCGCTATGAAGAAAAGAACTTAACGCACCGAAACCGATTTAACCAAATGACATTGCCATCTCTCGAGACCCATTGCACCAACAATGACAGGTATCGAACGACCTCTACAGCTGACACTTCAACGTCAACTCTATTTTGTCGTCCAATACCCGACCAATGTTAGTGAAGTGATGGCGATACACGTATCCGAAGATTAAAACACCAGAATACCGTCATAATCGTGATCACGATCATGATCACGATCGCGCCCCCGACGATGGAGATGATACCACTATCACGACAAGACGACGGCGGAATAGAGAAAGAGAGCCCACAGAAGAGCTTATCGCTGCCAAACCGACCAACCCGTTCGCACGAAGCCGCATCAAGACCTACAAAGAAAACTAAGACGAGCACCGAAAATTTAAAGTTTGGCGACGCTTCCGACACATCCTTCCTATATTGCGTAACGGTGACGGTACCCCTACAAAGAAAAAGAGACATGGTTAGCATACACTTCAACGCCATATAACCCCTTACTAGCATACACGTACCTACATCTTGCCCATCGAGATTAAACCATGCCGCACCATCAAGATTCTATAAACAAAAACAAAAGCGAAGTTGATATTACCTTTACCCTTTTAATTACCTTTATGATTCCTTTGTTATTCCTTTGATTATCCCCACACTCTATTAATATTTAGTAACACATGTATCGTTTTATTTCTTAAGACTTGAGAAAATATTATTGATTGCTTAGGTAATTTCATAAAGCCATTACATAGCTGTAGACGACCTTGATTCTTAGGAATCCATAGCATATGCTGGTTAAAGGCTGGTCAGTCATGAAGCGCAAAATTGTAGCAGGATGATGTTTGAGGCTATAGCATTTTATGAAATTATCAAAGTGATTAATATTATTCTTTCAACTTATTTTATATTTAGACATTTTTTTTTATTTATTTTTATAATTTTATAATTTTTATATCTTTTACAACTTATCAAAAACATTTAAAATCTATATACTTCTATGACGTCTATTGGTATAATGCTCATTTCTTAACACTACCCTATATCCTTGTGTTAACCTTGCCAAATATCTATACTCCTGAATCAACCGATGAATATTTCTTCCCAGAGGTCTATCTCTTCTATAAAAACTTAACCCAGCCAATTGACGCCTAATATTTCTATTAGATTCATTCAAATTATCCAAAGTTCTTTGCTGAGTATTCAACTCTTGTTCTAAAGTGACACACCGGTCACAGGAAGAGGGAGCATGGGATTCAACAGAAGCAGGAGCAGGGCTTTCAGTAGGATTAGGAATAGAAGCAGAGGCTGAAGAAACAACAAAAGAAGCCACTTGAGGTACACGAAAGGGACGACGAATGGTAGCCATAAAACTTGTATGGGAAGAAGGAAGGAAGACACGACCACTACGACGGTTGACCCGACCACCACGACGACCAGCACGATGAGAAGTATTGTTGGTAGACATGATCTAAAAAGCTGAAGCGAGGAAAAGGGGAAGAAAAATCAGTATCCAATGTTAAAACAAAGAGGAAAAATTTAAAAGAAACAAAAATGACGAATATCCTTGGATATATGAATCATCTCCAAAGCGGAATAACCTAAGAATCCACTAGACTATGACCTGTCAACGCTATACAGAGAGAACAAGTTTATAGAAAATACATAGGCATATATCCAATAATTTTGAAAATAAAAAAGGATAAATTCGTCTAATGAAGAGGGGATAATTCAAAAAGATTGGATACCTTGGAAAAATAACACGTAAAAATCTTTGAAAACGATAATTGAACTTGCACTTGGAAAGTTTGGCAATCACTGAACAAAAATCAATTCTTAAATATTAAATTATTTGAGAAACTGATGGAAACAAAAAGATCTTTTGACCGCTATGAATCTGCAACTTGAAATTCACCCTCACCACTAAATACCATTTAAGGAAAAAAAGCATATGAGCAAACTTGAATGGATTGACCTAATATAACTAGAAGAGATAATTATTAACATGTGAAATCTGAATGAACGACACAAGGAAAACTTGATTGACACCTGATAAAGGAAAAATCATATAGAAAAACTGTGGGAAAAACTTTGTTCAGTATTGGAGGTATTTATAGTGACGGACAGTCTGTAATTCGTAAATCCAAAGTCTAACAAAGAGAATATCAGTAGTGGATACAAAAGTAATATTGAACATATAAGTCTTGAATCGCGTGG